GGCTCTGGAGGAAGGTCCTTGTCGTCAATCTTCCTCTGGTCTAGGAGCTCCTCAGTGCAAGGACCCCAGGTCCAAAGGACATGCTGTGCTCCTGGCACTACTATCTTGGTGGTATGAGGTCCCCCATCTCTCTGCTTACTTCTCTCTTTTATATCTCAAAAAAGATTGACTCAAGATACAACCTAATCTTGTAGATTGAGTTCTGTCTTATTAACATAACTGCCTCTAATCCTGCCTCATTAAAATGATAGAGGTAGGATTTACAACACATAGGAAAATCACGTCAGCTAACAAAATGTTGGACAATCACACAATACTAGAGATCATGACCTAGCTAAGTTGATACACATTTTTGGGGGACACAATTTAATCTATAACAGGTGGCTTCTCCATCAGGCTGGGTTTGTTGTTGTTCTTGTGGTTGTTAGTTGCTGCCAAGTTGGTTCTGACTCATGGCAACCTTATGTATAGCAGAACAAAACATTGCCCAGTCCTGTGCCATCTTCATGAGCATTGGTATGTTTGGGTTCATTGTTTTGGCTATTGAGTCAGTCCATCTCATTGATGTTTTCTCTCATTTCCGTTGACTTTCTGCTTTACCAAACATGATATCCTTTTCTAGCCATTGATCTTTCCTAATGATGTGTCCAAAGTCTCACCATCCTTGCTTCTAAGGAACATTTTGATTGTGTTTTTTCTAAGACTGATTTTTTTGTTCTTTTGGCCAAAACCCATTGCCTTTGAGTCAATTCTGACTCATAGCCACCCTACAGCCCAGTGTAGACTGCCCCATAGAGTTTCCAAGGAGCAGCTGGTGCATTCAAACTGCTGACCTTTTGGTTAGTAGCTGGACTCTTAATCACTGCACCACCAGGGCTCTGTTCTTTTGGCAGTCCATGGTATATTCAATATTCTTTGCCAACACCACTGTTTGAATGCATTAATTCTCTGTCTTCCTTTTTTCACTATCTAACTTTTGCATGCATAATAGGTGATTGAAAAGACCATGGCTTGGGTCAGACACACCTTAGTCATGAAAGTAACACCTTTGCTTTTTTAAAGCTTTAAAAAGATCTTTTGCTGTAGGTTACCCCAATGCAATACGTTATTTAATTTCTTGAGTGCTGCTTCCATGGATGTTGACTTACTGACCACTTAATCCCCTCACATTCTATCCACGTGGACAACATGGATGTCATGGTCGAACCAAGTACACATGGTTCTTTGGATCTGTTCTTGCATGCCAACCACACAGGGAACCAGCACCATGATTTAGGGTGGGGTTGTCAGGCTGTGTTTTCTAGTCTCTGCTTTGCTGCTGCTGTTCCTGAGGCTTATAGCTTCTTTCTTCTGGAGAGAATGTTCTATGCTGAGCTCCTGAGATGTAAGGTACCCTCCTTCTCTTCCATCTTGAAAGAGGAAGTGACTGGCTAGAGGGAACTTGAGAAAAGTGCTGCCAGATGACCACCTGGGCTGATGCTGCTGTTGCGTACATCCTCCCAGAGCGCATTCCACTTGTGGCTGCAGCTCTCCATCCCCAGATGCAGAAGTGATCTGTGCGGGCCTGTCTGCACTTGCCTTCCTGCAATTCCTGGGCCACCATGGCCATAAAGCCACGCCCATCCTTTCTGAGCCCTCTTCCCAGAGTGCTGATTAACCTTATGCTGTAGAGATGAGCAGGACCAGAATCTAATAGGTATAAGGCTACAAACAACGTAGGGAGATAAGTGTATGATGGCAACCTCTTCTGTCCCCCTCATCATTATGAAGTGTGACTCCCAAGGGCAGGAACTCTATTCTCTTCACCTCTGAATCCCCAGCATCTGGCATAGCACCTGGCATCAAGTGGACTCTCAATAGATGTTTGTGGTATATGAGTGGATGAATTTCTCCTGACTCACAGGCTCTGGCCTGTCTCAGTGCTCAGAACAACACGAGCTTGAGGCAGGGAATTCTGGACGGACCACTTCACCTGCTCATTCCACCCTCCAGATGAGGTTTAGTTGACTCACCTTCCGTACCTGTCTGGCCCAGGCCACAATTGCCCAGCCCAGAGACTTGTGGGCTGTGCCTCTTGTTGCCCTTGCTGTGGGTCTGACACAGCCCAGGTGGATTCCAGCCAGAGCACCAGAGAACTAAGATATCGATGAGCTTATCTGTCCTAGAGCAGGCCCTCTCTGTCCTCTGCTTGCCCTCATTCTACTAGCTAGGTGTGGGCACCTAGGGTTCACAGGTGTGCCGGTGTGGCTGGAAGGAGGGGAAGGATGTGGCAAACAAAAATGAGGGCAGGGGGGCTGGGCCTTTTCCTCTGTGCTCCTCTGATCTCCCATCACCTCCACTCTCTTCTCCTTACAGGCTCCCCTGGCCACACCAGCTCCACGTCCATGAGTCCGTCGGCAGTCTTGTCCACAGGGAAGCCAATGGACAGCCACCTCAGCTACACTGACACCCCTGTGAGTGCTCCACGGACTCTGAGTGCGGTGGGGGCCCCTCTCAATGCTCTGGGTTCTCCATACCGAGTCATCACTTCTGCCATGGGCCCCGCCTCAGGAGCGCTGGCAGCCCCTCCAGGAATCAATTTGGTTGCCCCGCCCAGCTCTCAGGTAGGAGTCCTTCCTTCCCAAAGTCCCTCTGGTTTTCCTAAATGGTTTCACCCAGGCTGCTCCTGGGACAGGTCTAACACTCAGCAGGTGCTTAATGTGTTCTTACCAAAGAAATTGGATTGTCTCTGCAGACTTCCCTCCTGCGGGACTTTCATTAAGTGCATCCTTGGGCTGCACAGCCCCAGAAAACTGAAGGCTACTCATGGTCCAGGAGACTGTGGCCAGAAGGGAGTCACTCCTGTGGTTTCAATGGTTCAGTCCTGGCTATGATTTCAATGTCTCTCAGGGCTGTGTGTCATCAGTGGGATGGGCCCCTTTATTCTTTTCAATTCAATAACGAGTATTTGTTTAGTCGATGAAGTGTCAGGTGCTCTACTACATGTTATAGGGCCTACAGAAATAAGCAGGACATGGTCTTTGCTCTTTAGGAGCTTATAGTTGAGAGGGGAAATAGGCCAGCATAAGCACATGGATAAACCTAGAACAAGGCAGGGTGTGTTACATACATGTTGTCTCTGAGATAGAGGCAGAGAATATGGGAACTCAGGAAGGAAGCCTCATCTTAATTATGAGCGCCTTCTGCTATGATTGAGGGGAAAAGGTGTGTGAATTGTAGACACTGGATTGCTGTTCTGTGAGCCTATGAGATGGCGAGATGCCCTTTACTTCCATCTAACAAAACCATAGCGAGATAGATCATCAGTCTTTCCCTTTTGTAGTGGTCAGCTATGACTGCAATAATGTTACATAACAAATAGTTCCCAAATCACCAAGATTACACAGACAAACCTTTTTTTTCTCCCCTCAGTCAGAAGTCTGCATGTTGGCTAGATTGGCTCTGCTTTAGATGGAGGGTGAGCTAAGCCAGGCTGCAGGTTGGGCTCAAGTCTGCTCCTTGTGTTCTAAGCTAAAGGAGCAGCGGCTACCTAAGGCATGCTTTTCTCATAGTATCTCACAGGAGTGCAAGAGGCCAAACCAAATCAGGAAAGAACATTGAAACCTCTGCTCCATCATGTCCACTAACAGTCCATTGGCCTAAGGAAGTCATATTGCTGATTGCAACATTAGTAGGGTAGGGAAATAGGCTGTGCCTATCCTAGCGGGGAGGCATTGGTGGTTCAGTGGTAGAATTCTTACCTTCCATATGGGAGACTTAGGTTCAGTTCCTGGCCAATGCACTTCATGTGCAGCCACTACTCATCTGTCAGTGGTGATATGTGTGTTGCTGTGATGCCAAACAAGTTTAAATGGAGCTTCCAGACTAAGACAGGCTAGGAAGAAAGGCCTGGCAGTCTACATCTGAAAATCAGCCAATGAAAGCCCTATGGATCACAACGGTCTGATCCTATTGTGCATGGGGTCACCATGAGTTGAGGGCTGACTCAGCAATAGCTATAACAACAGCAACAACATTGTAGTAGAAAGTATTACAAAGACACAATGCAAAGGATGTGAAGAGTTGGAAGGAGTGAAGAGTTAGAAATCCTATTTCCTGTACACCCACACCTATAATCCACACCGTCTTCCCTCACTGTATAGCAACCACGGTCCCATCTGTCCCATGTACCAACACACCTAAAGGCAGAATCAGTAGGTCCTGCTGCCTCTTTTGAAGAGGAAGGTCCCCACTTGTGTCAGCATTTCCTACTGCTGCAGAAAGAACTTCAGAGCTCATCCCTGATGCCTGTTCAGAGATACCACAGAACCTTGCCTGTGAGCTCAGGCTCAGAAATCAGGGCAATGTGGAGTCATAGAATTTTAGAGCCGTAAGGACTTTGGGAATTTATTGATCCATGCATTAGAGAGTTTGGAAGAGACCTTAGAGATCATCTAGTACAGGGACCATAGATCCAGGGGCCAGGCGGGTAGCACAAGTGAGTGGATGAGGGTGGGTGCCATGGATTGAATTGTGTTCCCAAAAAATATTTGGCTAGGCCATGATTCCCAGTATTGTGTGATTGCCCACCATTTTGTCATCTGATGTGATTTTCCTATGTGTTGTAAATCCTACCTCTATGATGTTAATGAGAAGGGATGGGTTGATGAGGCAAGACTCAACCTATGGGATTGGATTGTATCTTGAGCCAGTTTCTTTTGGAATATAAAAGAGAGAAGCGAGCAGGGAGACAGGGAGACCTCAGACCACCAAGAAAGCAGTGCTGAGAGCAGAGCATGTCGTTTGGACCTGGGATTCCTGGGCAGAGAAGGTCCTAGTCCAGGGGAAGATTGATGAGAAGGACCTTCCTCAGAGCCAACAGGTAGAGAAAGCCTTCCCCTGGAGCTGACACCCTGAATTTGGACTTTTAGTGTACTTTACTGTGAGGAAATAAATATCTCTTTGTTAAAGCCATCCACTTATGGTATTTCTGTTATAGCAGCACTAGGTAACTAAGACAGTGGGTATTAAGACAAAAGGGCTAGTGGGGAGCTGGAGAACACAGCCCCCTTCCTTACCAAAAACCAAACTCATTGCTGTCAAGTCGATTCCAACTCATAGCAACCCTATTGGACAGAGTAGAACTGCTCCATAGGGTTTCCAAGGTGGATTCGAACTGCTGACCTTTTAGCTGAGCTCTTAGCCACTATGCCACTAGGGCTCGCCTCCTTCCTTGAAGTCATTCAAAGTTCAAAGGCTTTTAAAGCACTCCACAGACTTTACTCCACAAGTAAAGTCCTTCTGTGGTTCCATTTGGCCAGCCATTTTCATCCCAGTTCCTAATCTAATGGTTCTCACCTGTAGGATCGTTTTCAGTGTACACATCCTCCTACCCCATGCTGTATTTTGGCTCTTGTGCAGATTACAAAAGCCCCACAGTCTACAACAAGGCAGAGTGTGTTACATACATGCTGTCTCCGACATAGAGGCAGAGACTATGGGCATTCAGGATTCCATTTGCCCCACCCACGCCCAGCCGAAAACTGCTCATCTTGTCCAAACTCTTCATTCCACAAATGGAGCAACTAGGCTCAGAGAGCTAGAGTGATTCATCCAAACTCACACAGCCAGTCAGCAACAGAGCCGGGATTAGAACCTAAGTCCCCTGACCTCCAGCTCTGTGTGCACAGTGCTGCATTCACCTAATGCTGTGACGTGTGTTAACTTAATCAGCGACCCAAGGTCTTCCTGTTGACTGCTACCTTGTGCTGCTGTAACAAAAAACACCACAAATGGGCAGTTTTAAAGAAAGACATTTAATTTCTTACAGCTCTGAAGCTAAAAGTCCAAACCTGGGTCTCACCATGCCGATTCCTTCTGTGGCCTCTCTCCTAGTTTCGGGAGTCTCTGGCAATCTTTGGCATTCCTGTGCTTGGAGACGGGTCCTCGCATAACATCTGTCTTCCCCGTGTGTGTCCATGTCCATTCTGCTCTTTTTATAAGACACATCTCAGAAGTGATTAGTTTTAGGACCCTTCCTACTCCCAGTATGACCTAATTAGCATAAAAAAAGAAAACCCATATTTCCAAACAGGGTCATATTTACAGGTACAGGGGTTAGGACCTTCGCATTTCTTTTTGAGGGGCACATTCAACCCATAACAACTGCCAAGGATAAAAAGAAAAATGTAATATAATCAGTGCTCGTAAGGAATCTTGTGAGAGAGGGGGCCACGTTATACAGATAATTGTAATGCAATGTTGTGTGTGCTATAACAGATAGAAGGGAGCGTGGAGAAGGTATCCACAAACTTGCTGGTCAGATGTTTCTAGACTTTAGTGTGGGGACTAGGCAGCAGTGAGGATGCAACATGTATTTGTGCCACTGTCATCCCCTGTAGTCAGCACAGCTGGCAGTGCCCTACCCTTCAGAATGTGGGAACATCAACAGGTTTGTTTATTCAGTTTTTTTCATGTGAATGTATTCTAGGAAGGCAGGTCAAGGCTAGTAGGTTAGGACAGAAAGATACGTTTAATTTTTGGGACGAAAGTAAAATTTTGCAAAGGGCAACCACATTCATTTAAATAATGATTTATCAGGACCTAGCTGATAAAGTTGGAATTGACTCGATGGCAATGGGTTTGGTTTCTTGGTTTAGTTGATGAAGTAGGAGTCCTGGGTAGCACAAACCGTTAAGTGCGTGACTATTTGCCAAAAGGTAGGCGGTTTGAACTCACCTGGAGGCACCTCAGAAGACAGGCCTGGTGATCTGCTTCCGAAAGGCCACAGCCTTGAAAATCCTATGGAGCAGTTCTACTCTACACACATGGGGTTGCCATGAGTCAGAATCGACTCACTGGCAGGTAACAACACTTAGCAACAAAGTTGGAACAGCACAGGGTCAGCAAAAAGGAGGGAAACCTTCAATGAGATGAACTGACACAATAGTCACAACAGTGCACTCAAACATACCAATGATTGTGAGGATGGCACAGGCCAGGCAACATTTCGTCCTGTTACACACAGGGTCACCATGAGTCAGAGATGATTCGACCACAGCTAACAACAACTGTGCATCAGCCACTATTTGGCACTGTCCTAAGTGCTGGGGAGAAGCTCTGAATAAGGTGGCTGAAGTCTTTATTCTCATGGCAGTTGCATTCTAGCAGGCAAGGCAGACAAAAAACAAACAGAGTAGTTTCAAATACCGATAATTGTATCTTGTATCTATGAAGAAACAAAACAGGGTGATGTGGGGAGTCGGCAACGCACTATCCTGTCCCTCCAAGGCTTCTTTTAGCAACCCCACTTGAGTCTGATTGAGCCAAACCTGACCAATAAATGTTTATAGCCATGCATGGGTCGCAGGGCCACTATTCCTGGACCATAAGTCTGTACAGAGAGATTGGGGTTGAAAGGTCAGGCTGAGAGCTTTGGTGCTGGCCAACTGGGCTGTGTGCAGAGGCCGAGGCCAAGTCTGGTATTTGGGAGCTATATTAAGCTGGCCAAGTGCTGGTGAAGCTCAGCAGCCTCAGACACTCAGCAAGTGTTCTGGGCTTGGGCTCCGGAGCCTCACGGCAGCAAAATTTTACCCCATCAACCAGATGACACAAGAAAAAAGGC